CATATAGCACTCGGTGCCGAACTCTGCAGAGTAACATAATTTGCTGGAAAAACGCCGATCCGACCATCCGCATCCTGACCAACGTACCAACCTTCACTGTGCGAGTCCTGGGCATCCATGGATATTACCTGAAGAAATGTTTTATTTTTATTTAATTTTATGTCCAGTGGTCATATAAAAGGCGTTTCGTGCAAAACGCCATGTTGCTACGCAAGAAACACGGTAAAATGTCATGCAATGCACACTGGTGGTCGACTGACACTATTCTGTCTTCGAGTAAAACAGCAGTATTATTCAGCAGACAGACAGATAAGCCAGTCGTACAAGTTTTAAATAATCATAGGTGGAGTTAGAACGATCTTCAAAGGGACTGGGTCTTCATGTTTATCACAGATAAAGGTAGTCTATCTTAGGTTTAAGATCAACTCTCGCTCCCAGATCTGACTGGACAAGCCGAATGAATATCCGAAACAAAGTGGTGAATGTTTTAAAGAGCAAAGGTTTAGTAAAAAATGAGTGGGATGGAAACATAAGGGTAGTGCTGGGCTAAATAAAACAAAAGTTTGCGGAGTTCATGAGGACATTTCTAAGGTTATACATATAAAGAAAGTCTAGTCGTTAAAATGAAAAAAAAAAACACTTAACACCTGGCATATGACTATATGTCATCTGCATAAACTTAAAATGTTTAATAACATAAATTATATGAGTACTTGAATATATTCTTCTGGTTCCGTTTGTTACGACATTATAAACGTGCGAACTTTAAGCTTTCGATAAGAAATTGCGCCTGTGGCAAGTTCATGGGGAACAATAGAAGTAAGCTTACTTTAATGACGTCTCCACGAACCAAAGATAGTTCGTCATCACTTTTAGGTTTATAATCGTAGGCAATATACGCGAACTTCTCTTTCAAACGACATTCACAAAGAGATGGGCGGGCGGGCAGGGGTGAGGGCGTAAGCAAATCTGAACCCTGGCTTTCTACGGGTTCATCCTGTTTATTTTTTGTTTTTGTTTTCGAAACTGCTATACCGAAATCATCATTCTGTTGCATTTCTGTTGTCTTCATTATCATGTATCCTGACGACTAGGCCGATCTTTCGCAACGGCCGCCGGCCTAAACGCATTACAAATAATGCGCCTAAAAGCTCACACCAATTAAAGACTCTCTTCATCCACAAATCCTGATTACGTAATA